TGCCGCGTTCAATGTAGGAATCTGGCTTTAGCCAGAAAGCCTGGAAATCAGGGAAATTCGTGGTGGAAATCTCCTCTAATGGACCAGTGGGATTGTCGCCAGTGTAGTAAGTAAAAATTTTGCTTAGGTCAAGCTCATCGCCTGCCTTAAGTCTAGACTTAGTCTTGAAGTAGCCGACCAAGCCATCACTTGCTCGGTTCTCATCCCCCAGCTTGACTGGGAATTGGTAGATATCTTGTCCACCCATAAGTCCCAACTTTGGCGGACGGGGATCGAGGGTAGACTGATTAGATTTGGCATCAGTAGCTAATTCAAGAGACCAGCCAGCGTTGACCAGCGCCAACGGCCGGCCTACAAGTGAATTCATGAACGTGGCATAGGCGCTTGGGACCGATGAACTGGACTCGAGTGATTTGTTTGCCATGTCTAAGAAGGCAAGCAAATAAGTTGGATCGGGGTCCGCCAGTTTGTTTAAGAGCTGATCAAGCTGGCCCGTGTCAGGAGATGTCGCTGGCGGGTTGAATGGCAGCCATTTAGCGCTGGTGGAAGTGTGCTGCGGCGCAGTTGGAGAAGCGATGCGGACCTCACGATAGAACGTGCCGTCGGGTAGGAAAACTTGAATGCCGTAGTCAACATAGTTGAGAACTATCCAACCCCAGATGGGGTTTTCCCACTCTGTCACCGGTCTCCAGTAGGAATAGTCCGTAGGGTGGGTGTCGGATCGAGTATCATGGATCATGAAAGCGGAGTTCAGACGGGCATGTTGATTTATTCCGGGAGGAACTTGGGCAAATTCACAGTAGCCTTTTTCAACCGGTTGACGGACAACGTTGGGCTGACCATCTGGAAGGAGCTGAGGAGCAAAATACTCGCTGATATGCGGATAAACGGCCTCGCGGTCTTCGTAGCCGTAACGAGGGTCAATGGCGTTGATTGCCTGACCAAACTTGTCGATAATGTTCAGTTTCTTGAAGCGGAATTGTCCGTGTGTTACCGGCTTGAACGGGACGGGGCTAGGATCGTCGTGTGAGACGGCCGTAGTCATCAACGCTTGCTCCGCGGTGAATCGTACAAGAGAGGCGTAAGGGGTCATCTCGGAATGAATGCCAATCAGCTTCAGTTCATTATTGTGAAAAGGGCCCTTGTACGCATCCGCAATAGGTTGGACGCCCTCTCCAGGATATCTGGCATTGGGCTTAATGTGTGTGCCATGCGATAGAGTGAGGAGATGGTCAGTGAAGCCATCCAGGGGTGCGGAGAGGAACGGAAGCTTGTATGTATTGTAGAGGACATTATCACGCTGCTCCTTGGTGGGCAAGTATTTCTTCAAAACCTCTGGATCGATGCTGTTGAACAGTTGGTCGATCGCGGCCTGGAGCGAGAAGCTCGGCTGCGGAAGGAGTAGGATTCGCCCTGAGAGAGACCTGATGTCTTTGATTTGCTCTTTCGCGAGATCTGTACCAGGAGTAATCCCGAACCTCCAATGCGGATCCAGCTGGCCCTTTTGTTCCTGGATGAGGTCCCAATCCTTCCATGGAATGTGAAAGTAGTCGGCCTGCCATTCGAGGAAGAGCGGGGCCCAAGGTTGGGTTTTGCCCCATTGGTCTCGGAGAGGATCAGTGGCCAGCCCATGCTTGCCGTGGTCGTGGTAAAGAGGAACATAATGGTACTTGGGAGGAGTGACTTCTCCAACTCTGAGAGCCACAAACTCTTCAACCAGGGCCTGAGCGGTTTTCTGAAGTGGTTCCGGCAGTCGGTCGATGCAGAACGGGGACGCGTTGAAGGAGGGTGTTGCCCCCACCAGCTGCGTATCCAAGCGGACTTCCAGGCGGTCGAGATAGTCGTCCGGCCAGCCAGCACTGATTCCAGCGACCAGTAGTGTCGGGTCGCGCGGCTGGCTGAACTCCCGCAGCACGCCGCTCTGGGGCAGACGCGAGAACTTGCTGGTGTCGCGCGAGAGGCTGTCGATGAACGTCTGCAGGGTCCGCGCCAGGCCGGTCAACGTGTTGATGCGGTTAGTCAGCGGCTCGACCGGCATCGGTGGGGGCGACGCCTCCGGGGAGCTCGCGAGCTGCCACCAGTACGAGAACATCTGCCACTGCAGCTGCATGACTTGTCGAGAGGTGCCATCCAGCATCCGCTGCGCCCGGTTCAGCTGCTCCAGGTATGCAGCCTCCGTGTCGCTGGGCTTCACTGCCGGTTTGTCGTCTGGACTCTGGAACAGCCAATATTGGCCGCCCGACTCTCGTGCAAAGTTCCAGTTCAGGACCTCATCGGTGGCAGCGCGGTGAGCGTCGACTCCTTCATCCTGGGCGCGCAGAAGGGGCGCGATCAGGCGCAGGTCCTGCTCCAGCCCTTCCGTCTTATGGCTTTCTATGTACGCAAGCAACGAGTCTATTGGTGTCGTCCCCACGGCGACAGACATGGAATCAGTGAGTGTCTGCGAGGCGTCGTTCGCCGGCACTTTGGGTGGCAGTGTGGATGCGTTCCACTCTACATCATACATCGCGCCGTGGCACAGAATCTGCGCTGGGTCTTCGGAACCGAGCCATTTTTTTATTTCCTCTGGGAGCTCCTTTTCGCCTTTCATTGCCATTGACAGAGCATCCATGCGGCCGCGGCGTGTCAAATGCGAACTCGGGTCCATTTTCCCAAATGGCCCGTCGGCCGCTTCAGAATGCCATCCGATAACATAGTAGCTCGCAACAGCTTGGGTGAGATGGCTGTCGGCGCCGTTGATCTTGCATGCAAAGGTATCGACCGTTGAAAACACATTGCTACAGTGAGGCTGGTAGTCCACAAACAGTTGGTTGGAGCTGCTCACAGCCGTCAAGTCCACTCGAGCCTTGCTGTGGTCCTCGCTCCACTCATTTGCACGCTGCTTGTACCCGATGAATGCTTCTGCTTGTTTTTTAAGGTGTATATTTCCAATGCTCTCTTTGTTCGAGGTAATATATGGCGAGATATCAACTTGGAGATCTGCATTGCTGAGAGCTTCGTCGTCGATTGAGCGCAGTCGATCGCTCTCAATCACCCATGCCTCTACCGGATCGATCTCAGCTCCCTTTGGAGCTGTCGTTGGGGCATTAGGGTCCAGTGTCCGAATCACCAACCACCGGTTTGGCAATGCTGGGAACTCGGGTGCTGAGTAGTCATTCGCTGGATTCTCTGCCCCTGACGCCCTGAGTCCCTTCTGTTGTCGTCGTTGGGTATGACCAGGAGCTCCAGAGGGACTAGCTGCTGCACCAGTTCTGTAGAATCGTGGAAGGATCCAGTGCAAATAGACTCCAACGCGATTTGATCGCACCGTTCCCTGACCCAAGTCCATCAGTCGTGGGTTGGACTCCGCTGGAATGGCATTGTGAAGATCCACATGATCCAGAATGTCTGGCTGGATGAGGGTATCACTGAGCTGCAGGAAGGTGTAGTTGGGCTGGGTGATAGGTGCAATTTTCGCATCGTCCTCATTGCCATCGCAAACACTTCTGTTAAAGACGAATGCGTCCAATTTCAAGGGTATTGTTAGGTTTTGGGGCTGCTCTGCCATCCTTCTCTGACTGAGGAAAATGTCACGTCCGAAATATGAGGTTGCAAACGTATTATGATTTACCCTCTTCTGGCGACGCAGTCAGAAAGTTGCATAATATCAATATTATGCCAGTGAGATAAAGGCAATTGGGTAATAGAAAGCAACGGCAGGCCGATTTCTATTTACAGGCTAGATATACTGAATCTCCATACAAATTCTCAATGGCTGAACTAAATGCAGCATACACATGCGTAGCTATGCGCGTGTCTTTCCCTCGCTGCTCAAAAGCTTAATGGTGCAGCCAGGTAGACTGCAGGTTTTTCTCACATATCCTTTATTCATAGTCTTCCGGCCGGGTCTCCGGCTTTCTTCCTCGTCGTCTACCCACTACGGTTGCAGTTCCCCCGGTTTCCTCGTCTTCCTTGCTCATCCGACCGAGTCGAACCCGCAAAACGTACAGTTTAAAACACGACTTGATAACATCATCACTTTGGATGATCCCATCCAACATGCATTGATGTCATATTCAGAAGCACGCATATTTATGCAAACACTATGCAGTAGGAAGAGTGTTAACTTCCACTTGGTCATCACTCCAATGTCCGCCGGAGAAAGCCAAGAGGATCTTCGTGATGATGCATTAGGCTTTCGCAGAGGGTTGCATCCCTCGCAGGAGGGCAAGATTGGGCAGACACTCTTGCATGTTCTTCAGGACGTCAAGTACATTCCCCCAAAGGCTGGGTTCCCATCACTTTGCAGCCAGATGGGGCAGTTAAGGTTCGAAAAAGAAAATTTTTGGAATGAATGCGGAGAGATATCTGCAAAGTTTAACAAATGTAACAACTCTGCCTATGCTTAACTAGTTATGTGGCTGCTTGTGCACGGGCCGCTCTATTTTTCCTTTTTTTTTTCTTTTTTTTTTTTTTTTTTGGCATTCCTTGCAGTCGAGATTCAAATGTATCGATACATGCACAAACCCCTCCCCAGGGCCCTCGTCCGTAATGTGGCTTGCTAAAGGACGCGGGGTGCTGAGCTACCCATCCTTGATAGACAGCGTCGTCTATCAAACGATCAACAGCCCGGGGATCAAAGTATTGTTTAAGGTCTGTGCGGGCCGCGACAGGGTGCAGGGCCTCCATAACTCTAGATATTTTCTCCGGACATAGTCACGAAGCTTGATACCCAGCTTCGGATAGCGTATCTCCCTGGACGCCAAACCAATCTTTGACGCAAGCCCCGCCAGGTCGAGGCGTAATTACAGCGGCAAGTAAAAGCATTATTGGATACTCCGTACTGAGTATAGCCTTACGATTTCAAGACCCATTGATTACCCGGCGTACTTGAGTTGGGCTAAGATTCTACCTTGGATAGGTATCCCGGTTATCTAGTTCCAGGGAGGATAGATTTCTACATGCAGGATTTGGCACCGGGGTGGATTAAACAGCTAATAATATCCATCTTCTCCGAAATATCAGCTCGACTAAAAGAGTGACTAACAACTAAGTTAACGAATTGAATTGACATCACATCAAAACATCCTGAAGGAGGAGCGTTGAGCGTGCGCTGAGAGCCTATCCCTCTCTCGGCTCATCAAAAAAGCTGTCACGGATGGTATCGTTAAACGCCCTGAACTCCGTGTCTCCATCTGGGATGTAATACAAGCAGTTCCATTTTTCCTCAACAACCACGCCCGTCAATAGCGTGTCCACCTTCATCGGGGGAGCGCCTTCAACGACCTGGTTTGCATACCAATGAATTTCGTTGTCTGTGACCTTTCCGACAATTCGGTTAAGGAGGGTGTTGACGTCCATGTAGTACAAAAAGATAGTCATAGACCTCGTCTGCACGTTCGTTATTGTAGTCGCGGCCAGTGGGCTGGCACTCATAACGCTACCAGTGCCCGCAATTCGGTTTGCTGTGGGGTACTATCAGCTTATACCAATTATATAAAGTATAACGATAGCGTAGGATTACTCACCACTCTGAAGGGTGGAATTAACCCAGTATAGGTAATGGCGTGTGTCAGTGTTCGAGAATATGATGAATCTGTCTTTGTTCGGGGAAAAGTACACTGCCGCAAGGTTTGAGTTCCCACTCGGAGTCGGACCGCTATACACCGTGGGAGCAGAAGTCGAATCCTGGATATTCAATTCGTAAATCGCATACTGAGCTGTTCCTCTGTAGCTTTGGTTAGCTTAAAGGCCGTTAGCCCAAAAGACGGGCGGCATACTGTGGCAGATTCAGGTAGTAGACCCAATTGTTACGGTCATTGTCAGAACACGCGGCCAGTGCCTTCTGCGTGGTCTCTATTGGCTGGTTCTGGCGGTTGGCGATGAGATTGTAGGTGGGGCTTATAACAGAAATGTACTGCTTGTCGGTGCCTGGCTTGGTGATACCGTACACAGTAATCTATCCCCGGCGGTTAGTCAAACAGTGAAATGTAGGTTGTCTTCAAACGTACCAAGCTAGAACGCATCGCAGCTGCAATACTAGAGGGGTTGACAATGACACCTTGAGACACTCCATGATCAACATAAGCTGAATAGCCTAAAGAACTTTCAATGGGACGCTGTTCCAATGCCAGCTGCTGTTTGCTGGTAAGGAAGAACAAAAGGTGTTGACCACTCTTTGGAATTGGGTTCTCCAAAACAGTCACGGGGGACGCCATTTCGATGATGCTTGAAACTTAGAACGACTTTTCAAAAGTTCAGTCAGTTGATCGAATAAAAGGATGCCACCTTCACACCGGGCTCTCAGAGCGGTCTATCTTAGGATTTATACCATTGAACTCAGCACATTGATTATAAATTCACAGAAGAGAATCCTGCAAGGGTGGGTTGGAAGGTTTTTTTTTTGGGGGGGAGAGAGGGGGGTGTTCGACTGAGGGGGAGCATTAATCCACCAGCATGCGTGGACGCATGCGCATCATAGTGCCAAGTTGCAAGCCCATAAAATACAATGCTCTCTTATCAGGATCTTGAATCTTGATATCCATTTGACGCCAGCCCAAGTGGCTGGCTGATATCATTGGGACAACTGCGTAACGGACGGGAAGGTTGGCTCGTTAATGGATAGGCCACCGACTGACCTCATATTGTCAAGGGCCCAATGGAGATTCGAGAGATCCACGGATGATTCGCTGCATTGATGCAGATGAGCATAGCCAGACCACTATGCTCGGAGACGGCTGCATGATCAAGGGAGGTGAATGTTGATTTTTGGGGTGGATGCACTCTGTATGCCGGCTAAATTTGCACGAACCTTGACGGCATCATGCAACATGCAGTTAAAAATAATCCATGAATGGAAACATGGTGTTGTGCATCCCATCCCTGAATAATCCAGAGAAAAAGCTCTCACATAGCATCCCCCCTCACTTTGGACGATTCAGGCCTCTTTTGAAAGCCTAAAAACAAGGAATTGACCATTGGACATATTCCCGACCGTCCCGAAAGTCGGCTAGAAAAATGAATTGTCAAATATGCTAAGCGTAATATCATCCCATTAATACGCACCATCTCACATTCATTGCCACGGGTAACAAGAGCTTATTGATTATCACGATTTCAATCAACCATGGACCTCCGGCGAGCCCCAAGAAAACTTGACTGCTCGCCTCGCCATCTTGCACTGCGTCATGGGAGACGAGTTCTTCGATCGCTTCGGGCGACGGTCGAGGATACAACCCCTGGAATCAAACGGGGAGAGGAACAGTTATTCTCGTTTTATGTACCTGGGCTTGCTGCTGGCGTTCACAAAATCGAAGTCGAGCAACACGTCGATACTGGCTCAGACAAAAAGACCATCCCAAGCAAGCATGAGTTCAATGTTATCGCACCTCGGTTTTCCTTGCCCGATGGCGCCATACATTCGATCTATCCACCCCAAGGGCATGCTGACAGAGGAGAAGTACTTCCAAATGTCTTGTTTACGGACCCGACACTACCTTGGGAACGAATCGCGAGCTGGAAGTCGGAGAAAGAACATCCTGCCGACTACAATAACAACCGAGTTCCATGGCTGGCCGTATTTTTGTTCACACAAGATGAGCTTCGTTTAAGCCAATCGGAAATCTCGTCAATATTTCAGAAAATTCCTTCGCAGACGGATGCTAAACAAAGCGGTACCCTTAGCATCAACATGTTGGTCGCGGATGTGTCCCAATTACAGGACACGGCTACATCCGTGGTATATGACCCAGAAGCTGATGGAGCGACGGTGAAAACTGATGCAATATTCCTTCGGTCCGAATTGTTCAATTCACTCTTCGCAAAGTATGATAAAAATGGGGCGCGGGATCCGGCGCAAACGACAGGTGAAGTGTATCACCACCGTTTTCTCGCTCACCTCCGTCATATTCATCTGGACGGCACACCTTCAGCGGCCACGACTGACGACGAAGATCATGCCTATTCGGTGGTTGTTTGCCACCGAACCGGTCCCTTGTCGATAAAACAGCCGACAACGGTGGTTGCCCATTTGGTAAATATCGAAGGCGTGGAAGCTATGAACTTCCCAGTTAAGAATCAAAAATATGTGTGCATGTCCTCTCTATACGCCTGGGAATTCACATGCTTGCCTCCCGATTCTCTAAATGTGGCGGATGCTTTCACTTACTTGGGAGAAACCCTTACGGCACTGACACCAAAGCTTAGCAAGGAGGACTTGAGCCAGCTGAGCGGGCCCGTTGGGAACCGTGTAGCAAAAAGGCTCAACGACGGTTTTTCACTGGCGAGATATCGAATCCAAACTGGCGAAGTCACGGCCGCGTTCTTCAGGGGCCCATTTGCCCCGTCAACGGTGGACTTCCCAAAAGAAACTCCATGGCCACTGAGCTCCACAACGGGAACAAAACTCCAAATCCTTGATCAAGAACTCAATATCATGGATATTACATATTCTGCAGCTTGGAACCTTGGAAAAACACTTGCGTTGGCAAACCAGGATTTTGCTGCAGCACTATCCCGAGTTCGAAAGCAGATTTTTGATATTGCGTTAAACGAGGCACGACTGCACGCTATCAAATCCCGGGCCGCTTCCCTTGGAGTGCCATCGGCGTACAAGACCCGTGAAGAGGTTGTGAAGACAATCGCCAGTACCATTGAGATCGTGGCGAGTTTACCAAAGAAGAAAGTTCTCCAGTCCAAATCCGATGGGATGGCAATGCGTTGGTTCCGGCAGGAGCTCCCTCGCCTCGATCTCACATACAAGGGTCAAGAGATTGACCCGATCATTGATGATTACCTGGAGAAGGCCGCATACAAAGTCGCAAGTAGCACAGACGGCGAGGACATACCATACAATGAGTACAACACTCCTTTTTCAACCGACTGGATGATTGTTTTGCGCTGGGTGTTAGATCGATACTATTTGGTCGATGTGCCCCCACATTATCTGATCACCGACCCCAGCCATGTCCCCCAGGAAAGTCTGCGGTTCTTCACAATTGATCATAACTGGGTAAGTGCCATGGTCGATGGAGGCCTGAGCCTTGCCAATCACGTAGACCGTAGCGACGACCGTTTGAGGTCAGCTATCAAGGCAGCAATCAACCGTTATCTGGAAACCGAGATCCCCATTTTGAAGTACCGTCCCCCGATACCAAGTTACGGGTTTTATGTGCGCTCCGCACTAGTGACCAAGTTTCCCGACTTAGTTGTGGACATTGACCCCCCTCCGAGCCACGAGTGGGCTCCCGTCGTACTCCGTCATGAAATGGTGGGACCGGACACGATGTTGTGCCTCATGCGCGAGGCGCCCGTCGAACCCGAGTTTCATTCGCTATTTCTGCGAGAGCCGCCACACCAACAGTACTTCGCTGCCGCAAAGACGCTCACTGCGGAGTATATCGACATGGATTATAAGCGAGTCTATACCGACCCCAATGCAGATGATCCAAACCGCACCACGCCAATAAGTTATACGATCCATCGCAACACCCCAAATCCACACGGATCGATTTTTATCTGGGGAACGAGTCCAAAAACAGATGATGTTCGGTGCTTGAACATGGAGAATTTTGCGAACGATTTGCACCAAACGATCAAGAAAACGTTCGAAGATGAGCACCATCCTGGATGGTATCAGGAGCCGTTCCCGACGGCAGCGTTAATGGGAATCCAACTCAACGAGCCACGGTGGCAACTTAGTATTTCCCTGCCAGACAAGAAAAAATTCCCTGGTCTCTTTGCTGCCTCTGAGAATAAGTACCGGACCTTGGCATTGTCTCCAAAACGGCAGATCCGTGCTCAGGCAACGATCGAGTTTACACCACAGTCTATTGCATGTGGTCCACACCCTGCTTTTGGTGCCCGTAAAAGAGCAATTCTAGAGGAACCACTGCATCTTCCTCCGCATTTCCGTATGCCACGGCCAATTTTCAATGTCACATCTCCCAACATTGCTGATGGCCCAGCGAGTGCTCCCGTGTTCAACTATGCTGTTTACCCGGTTGGTAAAAAGCCAGGCGCCAGCATTCCTATGCTCAAGGGAAAACAGGACCTCATATTTTCGATCGTGTACGAAAAGGATGCCCAAAACTTTAACATGGAAAAGCTCAAAGTGTCAATCCCACTTGGGCGCCCAGCACCGCTAATGACCAACTACAAGGGGACAGGGCCAACGATGCTCTCGAATCTCCGGTTCAATGTCCTCGCACAGTTCAGTAATGACGAGAAACTTGTGTTGACGTTGATACCACGAAGCACGTTGGGCTATGTCCCGGTGAAGAAGATTCCGGAAATGAGTTTCATGTTGAGTGGAGTGGAGGTGGAATCATACAACAGCCCGACGAGCATAAAAATTGATGTGGAAGTGAAATATCAGCAGGAAAGTCCCTGGCCTTTCGGGTTTTTCGCTCTTTTGGAGCCTGTTTCATAAAGCTTTCACCAGGTAGTTACTGTTTTAAAAGTAATCGCAGTAGGAACATGAGAATCAGAGCAGCATCCTGGATAATAGGGTAGTAAAAAAATGTACCTAAAAATCAAAGTGCATATATCAAAGATTGAAGTAATTGACTGAACAACTATTATGACCAAAGTAAAAATAATACCCAGATAGATGAACAGTGATCATGTGTACGGAGTAGTCAGGATTCCATACTGGAAAAATGAGCTTTTCGGGCAACCGTCGGAAAACGTTTATCCGACGCGACCTGTTGAGCCATGGATTGCAAGCTTGAAACTGTAGATCCACCATATATTTACAATGCATGTATAAAGGGTCTGAAATGTATAGAATTTGGAATGTATGATGCACCAATTGAGGGTTTTGAACCTGATTTGGAAGCTTTTTAATTACTAGAAATTAACTACTAAGTATTTATAGAACCACCTGCACAATCTGAATTGTAATGAATTTTTTTTTTTTTTAAATTTCAGGAGCCTTCTCACTGGTCAGAGTCTCTGGTTTGGGGACAGAGTGTAAAGTAAGTACAGAAGAATTGTTAGGGTGAGCTCATTCAGATTACTTGATTGTACTTTTGAGCAAATTAGCTTTACTGTCTTCAGTTAGAGACAGGCCTGATACAGATAGATTTGGCTGCAACTGAATGAAGGAAGAAGATGTGATTAAAGTAAGAGAGAGAGGGAGAGAAGTGAATACAGCAGAAAGCAGGGCAGCAGCAAATTAATCTATCTTGACTGCTGATTTACAAATAGTTTCTTCTGTCTTTTGCTTTTTCTGTTATTAAATATTAAAGTCAGT